TCATATTTTGAAAAGATCTATCAAATCACCTTCCAACCCTTTCTCCAAGGAGAGCACTCCTTACTTCAATCTATTCTCCTATCTGAAGTTACCCATTCCCTAGAATCTGCTGTCTTTCCAATGCATTCAGATCTTTCCGTGACACCCACAAAATGTACGCAATCCTCCGGTTGAGTTCTAATAAGCATCTTATGATAGAGGGTAGGTCGTTGACAAAGCAATTGAAAATGGTTGGACCAAGGACACCACTCTGAAGAAATCTAAGAAAGCTATTGCGAGATTGGGATGAGTAGCCTCAAAGAACAACAACCATCTTTTTGCTAGCTATGACTTCACATAATTGAGAATTTCTGCATTGTTGTCAATTTTACCATAAGTGATTGCATTTTGGAAAAAGAAAATATTTAGGAAAGAATATGTACGTCTAAGAGGTTTTTATTTCACTAACTGCTACTGCCTTATTAATTTTATTGCCAAGCTTTGGTGTATTTTCTGTCCTGTGTTACTGTAATAAATCAGACATAGAAATGCATTACATTTTCCTGGATCCACAAATAAGTTCGCTGAGAAGTTTGACTCTTGCATTATATTCACTGTTATATTACTTTGCTTTTCTAACTTTAATATCACTAAATATTAACTTACATGTTCCAAAAGTCAATAGATTGAACACAATTATTTGAGTCAATAACTAATAGTTGCTTTCTATTTTGTTACAATAATTGCGTAGTAATTAAAACAGAATATTTTATACCATCAATTTAGTTATACAAAGTTTCATGTCTGAACAGCTCAGTTCCTATGATATTTTTATTTCATTACAGCAGTACTGGTCTTTAAAGCCAGTCAATGAGTTAACCTGTAAAGTATTTGAACGGCAGCTGATTGTCCTAGAACAGAGCTGTTGTACTGTGTTTATGTCCAAATGAAATATTTTGCAACACATTAATAATTGCAGCTTAGTTGTGTTAATCTCTCTTTCCCATTCAAACACAAATTTTTAAACTAACATCCATTTAATATTTTATTAGTGTAATGAAGATTTAATGCCACGTCTCTAGTTGATTGTGTTCTCTTCCATAGTGTGTATTCAAATCCAGAAAGAGTCCCTTTTTAGGGCTATAGGAATCCAAGGTTAAGGTTAGAAAACAGGAACAGGCTAGTGAGTTGGATGATCAGCCACGATCATATGAATGTTGGAGCAGGCTGGAAAGGTCAATTTCTTTGTAAAGGCAAACACCTTTTAGTTAAAATTCATTTTGGGTAATGAAATAAAAGGTTAGCCGATATTGTTTTCCACAGCTTTGTTTACAGCAAGCAAAAAAAAAATCTCTCTCCATCTTTGCAAACCATGGTATTGTGGCAGATGCTATGGTTTATATCTGAAAGGACATCCACCCATTTGCAATATCTGGGAATATTGGTATTCATCTAATTTTAACAAAATCTTCAATAGTTGCCACACTAAACTCCTTTATAGATGGGGTCTGTTCAAGGACAACAGACAAAACCTCCACCCATTGAACCTTGGATCCCAAAATTCAAAGATGATCTAATATTTTCTATACTTGCCAATCTAAAAATAATAGAAGAGTACCATGAATCAGTTACCATCTTTTGTACCTTTCTTTGACCATTATTCTTGCTAATTTTTGAAAATTCTTAGTCATCTGCCCTAACTGTTATTAATACAAAAGAAGTGAAGGCCGCAGAAATAAACCCTGAAAAAAAGTTACTCAGCTTCTGTAGAGAGAGAAAATAAGTTGAGATTGTTGGGCTGATCTTCAACATTTGCTTTTCAGAAGAAACCCCTGCTGCATCCTTCTATCTTGGAAGGAAGCCAATACCAATTTATTCTGTTATTAACTTTCCATGGTGACCTGCATATGATTTTAGTCCCACTTTCTGAAAAAGAAACATTCTAAAAGGTATAGAAAAACCCATGTCACTCTATTTGATCACTTTGTCTGCATCTAGATTGGTGAAGTAAACAAAACACTAGATGTTGGCAGTGTGAATTAGAAGCAAAAAGTAAGAGATTGTAACAAATTGCTTGAATTGAAAAGCTTGCACCATGGTCTGAATGGCCTTTTTGTGTACAATAATTCATCTGATAAGCAGTAAGTAGAAGAGAAGAAAACTTATTCTCATGATGGATGAGATTCATCATTAGAACACAGATTAATTTGTTATGAACAGTATGTTCTGTTCTGTTGCCTGATTTAAAATGATTGGAAAATGACTTTTTGTTTTCCCCTTGAATAAAACCAGAAATGCATCTCGCGCTATGTGGTGTGGGTCAATCCTGAATCATCTGTCTAAAGTAGTCAGATTACATTTTCTGTTTCGCAGCTACACATGTAACGAATACAATTACATTTTACCTTGGATATCTCTGTTTCATTTTCATTATGTTGGGTTATACAGAAAAGAAAATTGTCTTAGGAAACAAAATTCTATTTTGAGATTTACTGTAATAAGAAAGCTTCAGGCAAGTCCAATTTTAGTCTAAAATATTACTTTGTTTTAGCCAGGGTTTAGATTTTTATGAAGGCATACCTTTTAAATTGAAGTTAACACTTCCATTGTTTGCTTATAAAGAATACTGAAAAATTTAATTTATCGCTGTGCTGAAATTTTTATGTACCTTTAAATTTCACAGTGGCTGTGATCCCAGCAGTTTTGTTTGTCTAGTACTTGAGTTGTCCTCGTCCTAATGCTCTGCACACAATTCTCTTAGACAGATTAAACATTCTGCTATTTGGATGAATATTTCTGGTCAAGTTATCTTGCAGTTATGGGTCTTTTAAATATATATGTTGGATTAAGCTGTTGTAGTTTAAAATTAATTAGTATATTTTCATTAAAATATTTACCATCCATTTACATGATCTTTTCCTGTAGATTACCAGAATTTTGTTTTCTATTTTAATTTTCCATCTTATTGTTTCTGTAGATAATGCAGTAGAAGATTTTTATAGCACTATGGCTACTTCTCAAAGATCATCATTCCGAATATTTTCTCCTGATTATACTCTGACTCGGGTGAAAGCTTGGCTGTTGGGTTCAATGCAGTGTGAACCTTTGAAAATCTGCCCAGAATATCTACTGTGTTCTAAAAGTGGACCTCTACAGGGTATTCTTCTTAACTGGCATCCACAAAATCCTTTCCAAGGAATTTTAACAGTGTTTTGCAGGTATGCATTTTTATCGTCTGTGCGCCAAATTTGACTTTGTCAGTTGTCACTCACTATTGGAGAGTTCAGAATGATTTTATATAAATGTTCAAGAGATCACTTGTAAGTACATTTGGAGCAATGAAATTGTATCAGTTCCTCAGTACAGATTTCATTATACATCAACATCAAGAAGTTTTCCAATTATTTCATATCAGGTACCTGCTGTGAGAGGAGAAAATGAGAAGCAGTATTAAATTGCACCAGCTTACTTTGTATACAATGTAAAATAATACATAAAAATAATTTTAATCTTATTGTGTGGTTCAGATGACGATTACATCCTCTCCAAATTCATCTGTTTTGATGACAACTGAATCCAGCAATACTGAAATAACTCATGTCGCCAAGTCACCCTTTATTGACACAAACAGTCCTTGACTATAGTGCTATCTCATACGAAGTCAGGCACCAGAGTGTCAGTATCTCTGACACTCATCCTTTTTATATATCAGCCAGGGCTCCCTGATTGGAGCAGATTAACAGCATTAATCAGGGAACATATTCTGTGACATCCAGCTGGCTAACCTGTCACAATCACTACAAGTAAAATGAGTGGCGCAGTGGTAGTGTCCCACCCCTGTACCGGAAGGCCCGTAGTCAAGTCCCACATGCTCTAGAGGTGGGTAATAACATTTCTGAACAGGTTGTTTAGAAAAATAGGTTAAATGAAACAAAAAGAGTAATCACCCAGGTAATTATTATTCAAATAATTCATTTTTTTTACAAACAGTACAGCACAGAACAAGCCCACCTCATCTTTGCTGACTATGATGCTATTCTAAACTAATTTGGACGCCACAGAGGCTCAGTGGTTAGCACTGCTGCCTCGCAGCATCAGTGACCCGGGTTCAGTTCCACCCTCGGGTGACTGTCTGTGTGGAATTTGCACATTTGTCCCTGTGTCTGCGTGGGTTTCTGCCGGCTGCTTTGGTTTCCTCCTGCAGTCCACAGATGTGCAAGTTAAGGCCATGCTAAATTGCCAATATTGTTCAGGGATGTGTAGGTTAGGTGTGTTAGCCATGGGAAATGCAGGGTTACAGGGATAGGGTAGGAAGATGGGTCTAGGTAGGATGGTCTTCAGAGGGTCAGTGTGGACTCACTGGGCTAAATGGCCTGTTTCCACACTGTATGGATTCTATGTTCTAATCCCAAATGCCTGCACATGGTCCATTTCAGTCTATTCCCTGTCTGTTTGTGTTTCTGTCTAAAAGCCTCTTAAACTTTGTTAACATATCTGCTTCTACCACCTCCCCTGGCAGTGCATTCCAGGCACCTAGAACCCTCTGAGTGGAAAAAGAAACTTTCTTCACACGTCTCCTTTAAAATTTTCCCCATTTGTCCTGAAACCTACGGCCCCTAGCATTTCAGATTTCCACCTTGGAAAAAAGACTGACTATTCACCCAATTGATACCTTTCATAATTTTAAATGCTCCTATCAGGTTATCCCTCAGCCTCCAATGCTCTAGTAAAAACGATCCCCCAAGTTTGCGCAACCCCTCTTTTGCAGCTAATACACTCAATTCCAGGCAACATCCTGCTAAAACTCTTTTGCACTCTTTTCAAAGTCTTCACTTCCTTCCTTTATTGTGGGAACCAGAACCGTACGCTCTCAATACTCCAAATACCGCCTAAAGTCTTATACAGCTGCAACACGACTTACCAACTTTTATACCCAATGCCGTGACCGACGAAGGCATACATGCTGCACACCACCTTTACCACCTTAATTATTTGTGTTGCCACTTTCAACAGGCTATGGACTTGCAACCAATATCCCTTTGTATATCAATGCTCTTAGGGCTTCTGATATTAACTGTATACTTTCCTGTTGCATTTGACGTTCCATAATACTTCACCTCACACTTGTCCATATTAAACTCCATTTGCCATTTCTCTGTCCAACTTTTCAACTGATATATCCTGCTGTATCCTTTGATAACCTTCCTCACTATCCACTACTCCACCAATTTTCACACTGTCTGCAGACTTACTAATCAGACCACCTACATTTTAATCCAAATCATTTACAAACAAGCGGTCCCAGCACTGATCCTTGTGGAACACTACTGGTCACAGACCTCCAGTCAGAAAATCACTCTTCACACTTGCACTCTGTCTTCTATGACCACACCAATTCTGTATCCAATTTGTGAACTTACCAATGATCACATGCAACATAATCTTCTGGACCAGCCTGATCCATTGCCATCTCTTCAAACATCCTTGTCACTTCATCAAAAACTCAATCAACATTGTGAGACAAGACCTGCCCAGCATAAAGCAATGCCAACTGTCCTAACAAGCTGTCTGTGTCCAAATGCAACAAGAACTAGACAATATCCAGGCTGGGCTGACCAGAGACAACTAACATTCGTGTCACACAAATGCCAGACTATGTCCATCACCAACATGAGACAATCTAACCACTGCCCCTTAACATTCAATGGTGTTACCATCACTGAATCCCTCACTATAAACATCCTGGGAGTTATCATTGATCATAAACACAGTGGCTACAAGAACAGGTCAGAGGCTAGGAAAACTGCGCCGAGTAACACACCACGTGATTACCGAAAGCCTGTCCACCATCTAAAAGGCACAAGTCAGTAGTGTGATGGAAAACTCCCCACTTGCTTGGATGAGTGCAGTGCAACAACACTCAAGAAGCTTAACACCATTCAAGACAAAGCAACCCACTTGTTTGGCACTGCATCCACAAGCATCCGCTCTTTCCATCATCGACGCTTAGTAGCAGCAGTGTGTACTGTCTACAAGATGAATTGCAGAAATTCACCAAAGATCCTTAGCCAGCACCTTCTAAACCCACGACCACTTCCAGGTCAGTAGATATATAGGAACACCACTGCCTTCAAGTTCCCTTCCAAGCCACTCGCCATCCTGACTTGGAAATATATGGTCGTTCTTTCACAGTCACTGGGTCCAAATCCTGGAATTCCCTCCCTAATGGCATCGTGGGTCAACCCTGAGAAGGTGGACTGCAGTGGTTCAAGAAAGCAGCTGACCACCACCTTCTCAAGGGCAACTAGGGATGGGCAATAAATGCTGGCCAGCCAGCAACGCCCGCATCCCAAAGAATGAATACATTTTTAAAAAAATCATTGTTTTCCAAATGTGAGTAAATCCGCTCCCTGAGAATCTTCTTCAGTAATTTTTCCAACCACTGATTTAAGGTGCACTAGCCTACTATTTCCTGGATTATCTCTGTTGCTGTTAAATAAAAGAACAACATTGGCTATTCTCTGGTCTTCTGTGATCTCACCAAGGACTAAAAGAGAATACAAAGATCTCTGTAAAGTTCCCAGTAATCTCCTCCCTTGCCTCTTTCAGTACCCTAGGATAGATCCCATCAGGCCCTGGGACTTATCTACCTTTATGTTTTTCAAGACATCAAATATCACCATTTCCTTAATATTGACATGCCCCAAATATTAACATACCCCTCCTTAAGCTTAGCATCATCCATGTCCTTCTCCTTAGTGAATACCAATGCAAAGTAGCTCATCCTATTCCTCTGGGTCCATACATAAATTCCTTCTTTTGTTCTTGAATGGACCTATCCTTTCCCTAGTTACCCTCTTGCTCCTAATATATGTATAAAATGCCTTGGCATTCTCCTTAACCCTACTTGCCAAAGATATTTCAGGACCCTTTAAATCCCATGTAATTTATTGTTTAAGTTATTTTCTGCCTCCTTTATACTCCTCAATGGCCTTCATTGATTTTCAGTTTCCTAAACCTTCCATATGCTTCCATTTTCATTTGTGCTCTTGAAATGTAAAATAATATTTCCTTAAAATCCATTGACTAGGACACTTACTGCAAAACAAAGTTATTCTACCGCTGGCTATATTTTTGGCACAGTCATTGTACATCAGTTAAATTGAGATAGCCATTTCACCCTAACACCAGCCACCATTGTGCCCTCTTTACCCTTAGTTCTAAAACTGTCAAAAGATTAATGCTCAACCACAGTCCAGGACTTGAACATATTTTCAAGGATAGCACTTCAATAGTAAGGTAGTCCTTCTGTTATTATACATGTTATTTAGCAGATGAGCTGTGAAATTGAGGCTGCAGCTGCCTATTCCGGTGCATGTAAGGGGAAAAAAAAAATCCCATGGTACTTTGAAGAGGAGCAGGCATTCTCCTGAGCCCTAGGTAATGCTGATTCATCAGCCAACAGCACCAAAATATCTCTCATTTGGTGCTCATGGGACTTGTTCACAAATTGCCTACGAAACAAGTGATAGTACTTCAATAGAAAACATATTGCTTGGCTGAACTAGACTTTTAAGTTCTCCTGAGGTCATAAAAAGAGTTATATAAATATAAACTTGGTTCAAACAATATGTGTCTCACTCAATCCATTTTGTTTCTTTTTCTTCACAGAAATCAATCATGTTTGCTGATGTTTCTTCATGGCTTAATTAGAGTCCTTCCACAGGGTTGTGTGGTAACACACATTAGTGCTGGGACTGAAGATCAAATTGCAGATATGTTGGGATGTGCTCTTGAGCAAGAGTGTCTTGCCTTCAGAAATGTGATCACTTCTGCTATCTCTGAAACTGAGAATGATTTCACAATGACAACCAAAACAGAGAAAAAGCAGAATGTTTTGTTTCATATTCCGTCAATAAATAGTGAGGAAGGAGTACAAGAGTACAGAGCAAAGTTTCGAATTGAACAAGAGCAAAGTACTTTGGGAATGAACCTGTCAATCACAGGTTTTCAGTATAGAGAAATTACAAAGAAATTGACTGCTCTGCAGCTAAACACTGATAGCTCTGCTTGGAGACTTGGTAGGTTCTACAATTCAGTTTATATTTAATGATTAAAACCTAATTTCTGTGAATTCATCAGAGAAACAAATTCGATAAGACACAAAGAATGTCTTTATTTGATCTTTCCTTTATTTTACCCCCCCTTGGCATTGCTGATGCTAAAGTACTTTGTACTGGCACCAAAGCAATTTTTACCTTTATGCAGATATACACACGTGAAGTACAGTATAAAACAAATATCTCATCTTTGTTCCTGTGGGAAGAAAACTTCAAGCTCTAATGCTTAATCAAAAAAGTTGTATTTCATAAATATAATTTGTATCGGTTATAAATTTTACATAACAGCTTAAAGTACTTCTGGTGTTTGTGTGCCTTTCTTTATGTATTATCCAATCTCCATGGGAAGTTACTCAGACAATAACAAGTACACAATGAGCAATGTGTTTATGCCACAGATACCTGGCACATACCAATACAGAATATCTCAGGAGATTAACACTTTGTTGCAAATTATTAAATTTGAGAAGGTAACTGAATTCCTTTTTTTGTTACACATACGGACTATGACATACACCTCAGTGGCTGCAGAAGCAGCAGTACTTTCTAGCCCTGCACTGGAGAAGTCAACAGCATCATTGTCTGTACTCATACAACTTAAGAATCATTACCATTCCATCAGACATGCCTCCTTGTTTATGGTGACTTTTATACAACATGCCTTCAATCTTACAGAGCTCGCAGCTGAATCTCATTCTCATTCACATCCACAATAAGTCCTTGGTTGTAAAGTGTAGATTTTGGTGCACAGTCAAATAAAAAAGGAGGAGAAGCCCTGTGAGAGTTTAGGATATTCAAAGCTGAATTAGCCTAGAAAAATTCTGAGTGCATTCAATGCTGAGTCCGTTCAATGATAAACTAAGGTGTAGAGAACTGTTGTTCCAGGATGTTAATCACTTGAAACTCGCTATCTAGACATGGATGTTTTTGACTGTTCCATATTAGTCCCATTACCTTCCATGTAAAAGAGACGAATAACTTGATAAGGTGCTGAATTCTACTAGACTCCCAGTGAAAAATAAAAGAAACAATATGGGAATATACATTTATTTGTTTGGGTGTCTGATGCTTTTAGTACATGTATCATGTATCACGTTTCTCCTATCATCTATGATTTGCACATTTGTTATGTGAAGATATCCGTATCTTCACATAACAAATGTGCAAATCATAGATGATAGGAGAAACATGATACTTCTAATGCAGTTCTACTCTCCAATTTTCAAATTCCCAGTACCTTTGAAATTCCCTCCATTACAAATCTTCATTGGCATTAGGGCCTAGGTCATTGCCATCTTACACTGTAATTATATTTGATTCTTTGCAAGTCTGCTAATATAGTCCATATCAGCACAATGTTTTCTACACATATTTTAGTGTATACTGCTGAAGTTTTGTAGTGTATACAAATATGACCTACCTTATGGCAATTACTACACACTATCAATGTCCTTTAATTTGCATGCTTTCTCCTAGATATCTGCAGATACTCATGTCACAGAGACAGAGATAACATGAGCATGCTGCAGTATTTTCTACTTTACATGCTGGGGAGATAGAACTCTCAATCAACATGAACCTTTATCACTCTATTACTGTCCACATTTGTAAATTGGTTTCTTGCTTCTGCTGCGTAAACAGTTTACCATGATTTGTTCAGTCCACAATTTACTTTTTAAATCTGTAGGAGTTGAGCAGTCCATTAGCTGCTTCACTAGCAATTTAAATTGTTACAGTTGCATCCCAATTGTTGATGCACACATTTTATCTAATAATTTCATTGATGTTTTGAAATGTTTTGGAAAAATGTGTTACAACTTCTGTGGGGATCGATAACTTTTTAAAAATATCAAACTACCTCCTAGCTTAATAGCTGAAAGGATGACATTTCAAGCTTTTACATTTTGAGATGTTTAACAGAATACTCCATGCACTATTGAGTAAATACTTGGTTCAGTGGCAACCTATACTTTAAACCACAGAAAGAATACCTGCCTTAATTTTAGGATAACTGAGAAAACAGCTTCACAAACTCCATGAAATCAGTCCAAAATGAATCTCAGCTCTCATTAGTTTACTTATATTCATTTCTTAATCTGTTAATTTCTAGCCCCAGAATTCCTCTTCATAGAGACAGTATTACTGGATATTCTTCTTCTAATGCAGTCTAGGTGAACCTTGCAGCTTTGTTTTTATTGGTCATTTCAGACTCTCCCTCAATCTCACTCTCGTACATATGCACGGCCCGTTCTGTTGAGAAAAGTTGATAGCAGTGCACCAGGTAATGCCCATTTGAAAAAAGGAGCAGAAATGAGACATTTGGTTCCTCAAGCCTTCTCTGCTACCTAATAAGATCCTGTCTGCTATGATTGTGACTTAATTCACTTTCTCACTTCACCCTATAGTCCTTCACTCTTATAGATCAAAAATCTAACTCAGCCTTGAATATATTTGATGATCCAGTCTCCACTGTTCAACAATGTTTAGGTTTTGTTTTTTCTGATCATTTAATAATAGTAGAGGAGTTGGGAGAGATAGTGGTGAAGTAGAAATGGGTGTTAGTGTCCATGTGAAAACTAACCACGTACTTTTAGATGATATCAACAAAGGGCAGCATGTAGATTAGAAAACCAAGAAGTTGAGTGAGGGATCATAACAGAGAACTGAAGCAACACTGTAATCAGAGGAAGATAAGTCATTGCAAGTGATTCTCCAGTTGCAATTAGATATAGAACCACGTGAGAGCAGTCCCACCATGCTGGATGACAGTGGAGCAGTGTTGGAAGAGAATGGTGTGATCAATCATGTCAAATGCTGCAAACAATGAGGACAAGAAGTAATATTTGTTCTTTGTCACAGTGTCACATTGATAAGGGCTGTTTTGGTGCTGTGTCAAGGGTTTAAACCTGATTAGAGGGAGTTCTAAGAAAGTTGGACTCAGATATGGGGCGCTAGTATACAAAGATGGTGGAATCAGGTTTTTTTTTATTTCGCAGACAGGAGTAACAGTGGCATATTTAAGAGAATGACAATACCAGGAGAGAAAAAATCTGTTTACAATAGCAGCTAACATGGGAGCCAGGATGGGACATTGGGTGATCAAAAATTCAGTGGGAATAGGATTGAGAGGCTAAATCTCAAGGACAACATGAGTTCAGAGAGGCCAAGAGGGAAAATAAAAGATAAATTACAGATGTGTGTTCATAGCTGGGAGTGGGAGGTGGTGAAGAGGCAAGACATTAAAGGACATTTGGCCAACCGGACTGATAGAAATGAAGGATGAGGCAGAGACAGCTGATTAGAGTCTCAGTCTGGTGACAAAAATGACCATGTGTTTCATGCACACATGAATTGGCCAGATGAACTTTTATTTTAATGGTTTACAGTACAGAAAAGAAGCTAGTTTTGTTTTCATTCCAAGATGACCCGGGAATAATAAGTAGTTCTGGCATATGAGAGCAGGAGTCAACATTGTTTAATCTGGAAGATATATTCTTGTGGTTATCAGACATGCACAGTCACAAGTCTGTCTTGTAGATGCAAAAGAGAAAAGAGATAATGGGAGACATTTGTAAAAATGAAGTGTGAGATATAATAGAGTGGATGACATGCAAAGTAATAAGAGATGAAAAAGAAACTGAGAAACAGAAAGATACAAATATGAAAGAGAAGATGGTTTTAGTAAGAAAATATGATAATTTTGATGTGTAAAACTGGTCAATAGAAAGACTCAAAGATGATAAGAGGACATCAATAATATGAATGTGAGACCAGCAGGGAAAAAGCCTTTTTTTATTTTGTTCATGTGCAACATAAGCATACTATGCTTGCATTAAGTTTGAAAAGTATTTCTTCAGCTGAACATATTTATAATGTCAAATAGGCATATTTGTGAATCAAATTAAGAAATGAGAAGGAATTGCATTGCTCTTTCCAAATACCCTTTTAATTAATAGATTTAATACCTTCTTTATTGGCCACCAAGAACATTCTCATTAGCTTTTACAAACCTGATGTCCAGATTCTCTCCAGAAACCATACAAAAGATTGATTTACAACTGCACTGTGTAAATATGACACTGAGTCATGAGTGAGACTTTAACTGATTCAAAACCCTTACCCATGCGCAAAGTTAAAATCTTCATTTTATAGGACAGCTGGAGAGAGATTAGGAGCTGGAATTCATCGATTGAGTTATTGAAACCTGCCTGTAGGTTTCCTATTACTCTACCAGCTGAGATCAAGTGACTCAATATGGGTCAATGCTAGACTTAGAATCTCCCCGGTGAACCAAATTTCTATGATTCTGTATTATACAGGCTTTACTGAGTTATCTATGGATTAAACAAATCAGTTAACCATATGTATTCTAATGTTCATTTTAAGTGTAACGGAATGAATAGAGGTAACAAAGATTTGATGAGAATTTGTGAACATTTCCCATAGTCCCAGCGTACTGAAGTTTCATGCCTAGTGGATGGGATAATTTGTGTAAAGAACATTCTCAGCTTTTTCAAGAGTACGATCAGCATTGTGATACTCCTTCAGCCCTGTTAGAGGAGAGTGAGCCTCTGTTTTCAAAGATTCCTAAATAAGAGACACGCTGAGGGAAGATAGTAGGAACTGTAGATGCTGGAGTCAGAGATAACACAGTGTGGAGCAGGAGGAACACAGCAGGCCAGGCAGCATCAGAGGAGCAGGAAAGTTGACGTTTCAGGTCAGGACCCTTCTTCAGAAAATT